AGAATGCTTGCTAAGTGCAGTGCTCTGGTGGTGACTACATAGGAAGTAGAGTGGAAATTATAGTTTACAGTGTGAAATGGATGGCACAAGGCTTTTATCTTAATGTAAGCATATCCATAAGTGTAGCCTGAATTGAATTAAGAGTATACCACTGATGCAGTCTTTACAGGAAGCTTCATCTAAAATAAATGGGGCTGTGAAATTACTGGCTTACTTGGGCTTAACATCTCCATCAACTACTCTCAGATTTATTTAAGTCATTTGTTTAAAACCAATAAACATTCTCCTTAGGTTTGTTTTAATCTAATATTATTTTTTTCAGAGTCTAGATTTTCATTTTAATATGCTCATTATTATTGCAAATATTTAAACATTTCATACAACTCATGCCCTCAGAAACAGGACTTTAAAGAAGGAAAAGGGTAGTTCTAATTAGCTCATGTAAAACTAAGTGTGTGTCATTTCTCAGCATGCCCCCTACTGAAGACAGATCTCATCTCTTTTTATTTGAGGAGTGGCTCAGTGACTCAGCTAGAGTTCAGATACCTCTTTTATGATCAGTCTGATCACTTTATAGCCACAACTTGTATAATATTTTTTTCTGAAGACCCATCAAAATAAATTACTGTTCTGGACAGCAGGATCTGGCGGGTGGGTGGGGGTGGTTTGTGAGAAAATGCAGGAAGAGGGAAGTGAACGAATAATTAGATAAATTTTTATGAAAGAGAAAATATTGTAAAGGCCACTGGCAAAAACCACTCCAAAAATAAACAAAAATTTAAACTTTCTTTTTAAAAATACATATTATGCTGAGGTCAGCCAGCTATAGGTAAGGTAATCAATTTTCACCAAATATATATCTAAAGACCTTCTTTGCCAATCCAGCATTTAGGCCCTTCCAGTTCCCTCCACCCATCTTCCATTGGCATCTGCAAGGAGCTGCTGTCAGTCATTTCACATTGCTTTTGTAAACTACTTGTCTCTGTATTAATTTATTTAACTGCATGAATTCATCTTTTCTTTTTCATTTTGCTTACTTTATCTTAAATTGTTAGTTTTTAAGAATCAAGGTATTAGCAAGTAAGTGAAGAAATTATTTCAGGAAAGATAATCTTCCTAAATCTCAATCATCAGCCTCTCCTTCCCTGAGTCACCCGATGCCTGAGAGCAGTGATAAATGGGCTTAGGCTCAGTTACTGCAGGAATATTCTTTGGAGTCTGCATGCCTTAGGATGAAATCTTTTAGGGTCTGGAGTCTCACAAACCTCACTCCAGCCTCACCCACCGGCCCCCACTCCTGCTTCACTTACCCTGATCTCTTCTTCCAGGGCAGAGTGGATTAGCAAGTAGGGAGGCAAGGAGGATGGGGGGAGTTCCTATCTGTTTTTAACTTAAGAGGTTTCTTTGGTGCATTCATTGTTTTCTAACATTCTGGATGTTTCAATTAGTGCTCCCTGCCTCCTTATAATTTTTGTACCTGTAATGAACTATTTAACAATAAAAATATCATTGCAATGATAAGAATGCATTTTCTTTACCAGCAAAATTAATGTTTCAATAGACTTTTTGTCACATTGTGCACGGAATGGTACAAAACATACCGCCTGGATTTCTCATCTTTCTCAAAGAGTTATGTGCTTCCTAGAAGCTTGGTGAGTGTGCTGCTGGACTGAGCCGTCCCCTTTCACCATTGGATGACAGCTTGATCACCAAATATGTCAGTTGGGTGCCGTTTCTCATACTTCTGAGTAGTACTCTAACATGATTTGTAAAAACATCATTTGGTTCTCACTGTAGTCATGTACCCTTGTCTCAATACTTTGATTTTGCTTTTGGCACTTTCCTACAGAAGACTGAGGCTGACATTGACATCTAACATGTGAATTATATGTAGAATCTGTACCAAAATACAGGTATCCCTTCCCCCCCGCAAAAAAAAAAAATGTAATACACTTTAACAGCTGATAGCTCAATTTTGAAAATGAAATATATTTTAATAAACACTGCCTTGCCCTATCTGGTTTGGCTCAGTGGATAGAGCATTGGCCTGTGGACTGAAGGGTCCCAGGTTCGATTCCAGTCAAGGGCACATACGAGGGTTGCAGGCTTGATCCCCAGTGAGGGTGTGCAGGAGGCAGCCAATCAATGATTCTCTCTCATCGTTGATGTTTCTATCTATCTCTCCTCCTTTCCTCTTTGAAATCAATAAAAATATATTTTAAAAAATAAAATCAATATAATTATTCAAAATGTGTGTGTAAATTTTGGGGATACACTCTATAGACACGCTGCCCAGGGATTTCTCAGGTTCTTCAATCAAAGAAAATGGTGAGAAAGCGCTCAATTTTTCTAGACTGTCTCACAGTGGCCCTTTAAGATGAAACATCTTTATGTGCAGACAAGGAAGAAAAAAGATTTCAGAAAACTGTTGAATGAAAGGACCTAATTAGATAAAAGAAACTATAATAATAGACTGTAATGTTGTATAACCTTCCCTCCTAGAATTCTTTTTTTCATTTCTTAAAATATAACATTAAAGAACATGATATTTTTGTGAGATTATCTTTGCAAACTGGTTTATGGTTCTCTAATTTGTCTTTAGAAAAATCTTGTAGAGGTTAAAGATTAGTTTATTTAATGAATTCTTGCCTTACATTTTAATTAGCATTAGCGGTATCTCCGAAATCACACTATTAATTTGTGTCTGTCATATTGATGCATGGATATGAGGTTGACTGGGGGAAGAGGAATGATTTGTTTGAAGACAAGTCCAGCTTTTAGGAAATAAATATATGACTTTCCAGAAAGCTAGAAAACATTTGAGAATATTTGTGCTCATTTGCAATATGACCATGGAATCACCAATGTTAGATCTGAGAAAGAGCATCCAGCTCAACCCCCTAATTTTCTAGATATGGACTCTGAGCCCAGAAAAGTTGAATGACTTCTAAGTAATTCAGATAACAAAAGCAAAATTCTAGATCTTACTATTTTTTTTTTTTTCATGCCACAGGCATTTATTGAATGCTTACGATGTGCAGCCCCTGGGAAGCGCAGGCCATAAAACAGGTATTCCTGCCCTCGGGGAGCTTCTGGTCAGGTGCTCAGGGGCTCATCACCCCAGCAGACACCCCGAGGCACCCAGACACCCAGCCTCACCCCCAGCCTCCTCCTAGATCTTACTATTTCTAAAACTACACTACACAACCAAATATTTTTATGTAACATTGGGATTAAATTTAAGCCCATAAAAAGTCCATTTACTGATTGAAATCCCAGCATCAATCATTTCTAACTTTTGTTTTTATATTATCAGCCTCAGTCCTTTGAGATTTCCATGTTTTTCATGTTTCCCTAATGGGAAACTTAAATATTTTTGTTTCCAATGGAATATCACCCTGAAAGTACTTACATTCATTCGTACTTTGTGTCCAGTCAGTGTTTAATAGTTTGGAGGAGGGGGTGTGTGTCTACAAACCATCCAATTTCCCTTTAAATGATAAACTGGTGGCAAAACTTGATTTTCTATTTGGTACAGCCCATGAAAAGCTTACTTTGGGACTCTAAATACGTTTCTTAACACGAAATGCTACTTCTTTCAAGTTTTTTTTTATAATAATAGGTGTGCACTCTGGGGCAGCCTCATGTCTGCTGTGTGTGGCATATACTCACTGTGAGCATTTGCTAAATGACAATCATTATAATAAGAATTATTATTACAGCCCATTCCTTTGGTTTTCTTTTATTAAGCCCACCACCCTTCTACCAACTAGCTGAAGAAGCTGGTCACATGGAAAACATTTTATTTTTATAGACTTTAAAAGACTGGTTTCAGTTAATCATGTAATACAACATAATTGTGGAATCTGAAAATTGGAAAGAACACTGGAAAGCAACCTCTCGTGTCTACTCTGGAAAAATATTTTAAATAAAAGTAAAGAAGTCTTCAACAAGTTTTCAACAACTAAGGTAGGTCATAGCCATTAAAATCCTTTCTTTTACATCTGTTCCAAGTCCTTATTATCGCACTGGCAGCTCATGACTTATATTTATGTCTCCTCTGGAAAGATGAATGCTGTGAGTGGTATAAACAGAAAAAGAATCTGTTTTCTTAAGATCTTTTAATAACTACCTATATTCTCTTGAACGATATTTTATTTTTTCGCTTCTCCTGCAATTTCTAATAGAAGGAATTATTATGAAATGTGAAAGGAAGTGAATGATATCGGAATTCATTAAAGTCAATCTTGGGAATGATTTGCCTTGCAGGACAAATAGAGAAACAAAGTTCCCAGGCAAGCCGAAGGTCAGTCCGTGAGTTTTTGTTTGCCACTGTCCATCAGACTGGAGGGATTATCATTTGGGCTGGGGGATGGGAAGAGTAGGGGAGAGGGACTAAAAACTAGGCTTCCGAAGAGATGCTCCTGAATGCAGATAGAGGCATAATCTGTTGCCGGGCTACATTCATAACCTTTATAGCATTTCTTTACCAAGTAAGAATTTAGATGATACTGATTCTGAGTTGGAAGCCTTGAACTGGAATCTCCTTTGTCATTAAGGAAACTTCCTTGAGAAATAACCTTCTTGATTCTACATGCCTGAGAACAGTACATTTGAAGATGGGGGAACCAAAAGAAATACCCACGTCAGAAAGCTGCAGCCATTCAGGCAAAATCTGGTTGGAGAGGAAAGCTGTTCCCACGATCAGGGAGCTTCCCCAGCCAGCCTGTAGGTGGGTGTGTTTAACAGAAGGAAGCAATGGAAACCTGCCTGTCAGCCAGCCTTTAGAGCTAATTAGCTCAGCACACAACAAAGATAAGTGAGCCTGGGAGGAGGGCCCCCTGAGGGGTCTTTAGAGTCTGGGAAATGTCTGATTGGCAGATGTTAAAAGGGATTCTTTGGTAATCCTGTGCATCAATGAGCTGCACAAATTCAGTCCAGGACTGCAAGAATCCAGGCATGAGGACACAGTGCAGCAGGCTCACACAGGCAGACCCAAGATGGACAGAACCTTGGAATCCCTGAGACACATCATTGCCCAAGTCCTGCCTCACAGAGACCCAGCTCTAGTCTTCAAAGACTGTAAGTACCGAAGGGGAAAAGTTTTTTTACTTTTTTTTTTTTTTTTTTTAGAAAATAGTCCTAAACATCTAGTCACATCCTATTTAAATGTGATTTCTTCTAAATCTCTGTAGTCGTGCGCTGTGGTCTAGTGATGTTTAACTTGTTTCTGACTTCAGTCCTAAGAATGATTTCATTTCATTTCACCTCCGGGGTATTAGTTGCCGGGTTGTATTGTCAGTGATACATCTTGCTAACGGCTTAGAAGTCTCTCCTAAAATCTAAGGCTCGCCTAAGACTTAATGAACTTTTCCAGATGCTTTTGTAAAATAAAGCAGACTGCTACTAAGGTTAAAATTAAAAATAACTTGCATATGATAATAAAACATATACTTGCTAATCTGTTTAATCTTTAATAACATACATTGTTATTAAAAGTTATGTTAAACCAAGTATTGTGCTTGTCTGGAATTTTTGTTGTTGTTGTTGTTGCAAACGAAAGTTAATAAATCACCACTGAGCTTTTAAATTTTGATAACAAATTATAACACATTAGTTACAAGGCCAATGAAATTAGATGTCTTCCCACCTCTGCAACACCCTTCCCTTCCAAAAAAAAAAAAAAAATCTAAACAGCTATGGCAAAGTTATTTAAAAATCTTCTTTTAATGATTATGAAAAATAATTCAATCAAGCTTTCCAAATCTGGCAGTACTACTAAACCATTTGTCATGTAACTTTGTTTCTGGAACCAATTTGATTTCCTGCTGCTGCAAAACAGACTATCTTCCCCCTGTATCTTATCTACAGTGGGTTTCATATTACAAAGAGCTTCTGAAATAGAACTTTGCTATGGAACTGCCCAAAAGGTAAAATGCATATGGATTTTTTTTTTTCTTCAATAGGTTACAGCTTTCTTCTTTGTAAATCTTGCTATGTTTGTCTCCATCAAAACTTCAATGGTTTGGATTTTAACTTTCTGATTGCTGAATAATGTTAGTTTCCAGATGTCCTTTTAGTTTATATTTCTCATATGTGATGGAGAAGAAGAAATGTTAGGCCATTTCATTCTATACATTTTTCTTCTCAGAAATTAAATTATAACTAATTTTCCCTTTAAGAATAAGAGATCTTTCTTTCTTTCTTCCTCTCTTTCTTCTTATATTGCATTCAAACATGTGTCAATAGCTATGTTAGGACTAAAAAAATCACTCCCTACCCCAATCTAGCCTGGAGTCCATTCAGATTTAGTATGTTTCTTTAAGTGAAAAGAGAAGGAAAGACTGTGCCTCATACAAGAGCACTGAATTAACCAGTGAAGGATAAAGGGTTCTTGACCAGCCCAGAGTTTTGGATAAATTGTGTAAGGCCGGAGGGTCTTATGCTGAGGGTTTGGAGAGTGGAAGCAGTAAAAAGAAATACAGGGGAGCCAAAACCGGTTTGGCCCAGTGGTAGAGCATCGGTCTGTGGACTGAAAGGTCCCAGGTTCAATTCCGGTCAAGGGCATGTACCTTAGTTGAGGGCACATCCCCAGTGGGGGGTGTGCAAGAGGCAGCTGGTTGATGTTTCTCTTTCATCGACATTTCTAGCTTTCTATCTCTCTCCCTTCCTCTCTTTAAAAAATCAATAAAATATATTTTTTAAAAAAAAGAAATACAGGGGAAATTTTTCATTGAGCTTGTTGTGACTTTAAGAAGTTTAATCTGAAATCATGGCTCACTTCTTAAGATGAATTAACCTCCAAAATTGTTTACAGGTTAGCATAGAGAATAAAACAGAAGAAGGGTTAAAATAAAGTGTACACTATGTTCTTTCTGTCATCTGCCTTTGCAGGAACTCTTTTATATGGAAAGTCAAAGGAATGTCCTATTGTATGTATTTCATTCATTAACATAGGACGGAAATTTGATCAGATAGCATTGCCTGCTGACCCTAGAATGGGCTGCTCCTCTGCAACTGCCTGCATTGCTTAAAAGGTGTGGATATCACTGCCCACCCTCTCCCTCAGGTGTTTCTAATCTGAAAAATGACCAAAGGAAAGGGAGCCAAGTGGCAGATTTCTGCACCAGGGGTTTTTATAACATCAAAACATCTAGCCACTCACCATACTCCTGGCATAAATGGGAACAGGCTCACTACTTCCTGAGGCAGGACATCAAAAGTCTGCCTGGGCCTTTGCCATGCCTCGGCAGCCTCCCGTGTGCTTGCCAGAGTTTAGCACACAGACTCACTTTCCTTGGCACACCTGTAAGTCGCTGCCACCACCCTCCTGTTTTACGTGCAGCCTATAGGAAGCGGCCACCGGCCTTGAATGGCAGGTTCTGAGCAGCCTCCTCTCCTGGTCCCTCCTGCCTCCTCTCCCCCATCCTGGCCCAGGCTCTTCCTTGCAGAAAAAAAAAAAAAAGGCTAAGCACTTAAGCACATCACCGCCAATTGCTTAAGAAAAATCGTTACCTTCCTTTCCTGCAACATAAAAGCCAATCTAAGAATTTTAAAAGCCCAGCACAGTCGAACAAAGGAGCATAATAAAAACCACACACACTGTAAAAGTGTTTTTCTAAATTTCTTTTCTATAAATGCCAAGGCAGTTTTTTCTCTTTAGTCTTTAGAAAGACAGCATAGAGGGGATATAAATGGTCACTTTATTAATTTCTTGTCCTCAGTTGGCTTGTGATTTCATAAAAACAAACAAACAAACAAACAAAAAAAACCAACCAAGCAATAGTAAATTGAATTTTCTCTGCACATTGGTGAGGAAAAGCACCCAGAGTTTCTGGTCTGAGACCAGTGCCCATGGGGATAGTTTCAGTCATTTAAATAAATAGAATTTGAATGCATGGTTCAGCCAAGGAGGCCTTCCAAGTGGCATTTTGCAATTCATTAAATCCCTCATTTGTTTGAGGCAAGGTGTTCATCTGGCTGCTGCTGTAACTTGTTTTTCTTCCCTTTATGTAGTTTATTCATTAACATAGAACAACATTTTTTTTTTCTCTTTTCCCTATTTTACTTCTCAAATGAAAAATAATGGAAAGACCTTTTTCAAAGGTGGGCTCTCAATTTGAAGATTGCCCATTTAAGCTGTCTCTGACTGTTCTCCACTACCTGAGTGTCCCTGTTGTGTAACAAGAGGCACTGGGAATGGTCACACCTCCAGACAGAATCTTTGCAGAAATACCAGGGCATATCTCCCTGTTGTCTTCCACCTGTGGCTTTCTGCAACATCTCATTTCCTTTCGTGTCATATGTCACAACCAAAGGTGAGCTATCCTAAACACAGCCCCTGTCAGGTCTTTTCACAGAGTGTGTGTGAGCGTTCTATTTGTTTGTCACTGACAGTTCCTCACATGCTTTCTCAAAGGAAATCACCACATGATTTTCAAAGTGGCTGCACTGTCAGAGCCTACTGAGTGTTAACTCTTCAAATTACCAGGACACAACATGCTTATCTGCCATCTTTGGGACCGTTCTTCATTTGTGATAATGCTAGGATGCCAAGAACTCATGACAGACACGATACTAGGAAGATGAATCCTTCACAGTAGTGCATACTACTGTTGTTTATCGGTGAGGGAACTAGGCTCATGAAGGTTAAGGTGACTTGCCCAAGGTCACACAGCTAGTAAGTGATAGAGCCAGAATTCAAATTCTCTCTTCCAACTCCTCACTTTTAGTCACTGCCAGACATTGCCTCTCAGAGGTGTTAAATGACCACGTCATAGTAATATCTTCTAGGAAAACAGGAGGGATTGAAATGAACTCTTCTGGAAGTGTAGAGTGTACCCACTTAGTAGGCTTATCTGAGCAGTATGACAGAGAGTGAAAGGGGAAGGGCATTTTTGAGGAACAAGAACAGCTTGTCCAAATGCAGATCAGGCAACACGAAAACCATGCACTGGGGGAGGGGGAGGCGAGGCTGAGGCAGGTGGAGTCACCCTGGCGTGCAGGCAGTCGGGAGCCACTGGAGTTAACAGTGATCCTAGATTAGTTCTGGAAGTTTATGGCTTTCTGTTGCAGTGGGGGAAAGATTATATTGACATCTGTAGGAGGTACACTTCCTGATACTAAGTTGGGAGACAGTTACAGCTTTTTCACAGCAAGAATTATTATTTTACCCATTCAGGCAAGATACAGGATTTGTAAATGTTAAACATGCCTGTAGAGAGAAACCGCATTCACTGAAGGCCAAAATCAGACAAACTTTCTCTGGCAGATTGTTAAAAAGCTATCTGAGTTGTCACTGAAGCCATGAGAACGTGTTGTTTCCAGTATTGATTTATAAAGTGACATGTAAGATTTCACCAGCATGTTTCCCCAAATTGTATAAGGGAAAAAAATAAGATGGGCCCTTTAATAAACATTGCACAATTAGAAGGAAATATCTCACATATTTGAGGTGCATTAACTCTTCCATTTGGGGAAACATTTTTCTGCATAAATGGTCTTATTTATATCAGATAGGTGAATACTTCAAAAAGTATTCCCCCCCCCCTTTGGAAAAATTAGATCAGACTATAGAGCTATTAAAAGCCTCTTAGTAATCATGAGTCTGGCTGTGTGCAATGTGAAAGAGCAAGATCCTCAAGAGTCAAGTATTTTCTCCATTTTATGCTTTTGTGTGTAGTTATCTAAAAATCTATAAATTTAATGGCACATGTATGCGTTTTTTTGTTTTGTTTTGTTTTGTTTTGTTTTGTTTTGTTTTGTTTTGTTTTGTTTTGCATCTGACAGAAAAGAATGGAGTAGGAAGTAAGAGATGAAGGTGCTTGTGCACTGAATTCACCCTGTAAAGTGTGTCTGGAAGAAGATAGTTAAAAGAACCTTCACTGCTCCCTAGCTCAATTTGGAAAAATGATTACATCTTAATGACAATAATTTGAACTGTGGACATCTGGTGTACTGATGCCAATGTTACTTTAAAAATTCATGCTGAGATAATAACAACTATTTTTATTTGAAAATGCAGATTTCGGGTCAGATATCCCTGGGATAAGCTCCCTTCCCCTTTTTTCAGTGAATACACA